GTCTGACTCTAAGAATCAAGTGGATCGTGTGCTTTGCTGTCCTTCATATGCAGCCACCAGACGTAGCAGGAAAAAATTCAAAGCTTATGTATTTTCTCTTCCAAGCTGGGTTTCTTAATTCCTTATGGTTTCTGGAAATGTTTTCCATCTCTTTGGGCAAGAGAAAGGTTTTTCTGTTATTCACCCGCCCTGTCTCCACCCTTTCCCTCATCACACACCCCTGACAGGTGCTTCACACAGGCTCGTCTCAGTGAAACCTACTTGACCACGGTACAAGTCAATATTTGAGCAGCACTTCTCAGAAGCTTTCCCAAGTGCTGGCTCATCTTGTCCTGGATGGTGGAAAGGGGACTACATTATTTTCATTTTCTTCGTGACCTACTGCCGCTGGAAGACATGAGATTTGGGGTCATACAAATCAGAAAGTGAACTAGGACTTGACTGAGGTCTCCTTAGGTAGACCCCAGGCTTGGTCTGCTGCCTGGACCGCCCATCCAAGGGCGCCTTTGTGGCTTTCTTCCATCCCCGCCATCCAAAAGCAGGGCAGCTTGCAGACTCCGTGAGAGTTTGTTCACGATCATCACCCTCCCTGTGTGCAGAGGACCACAAAAAGAGTCAGGAAGGTTGGTTCTGGTCTAAGACAGTGATGTCAAGGGTTAAGAACAACCAGCTGCAACCATCAATATCCTTCACAGAAAGCCTGATAGTCCACCTTCAGGATGTACAATTTCCTCATGTGATGCAAAGAAAAAGACTATTTTCTGAATGGGAAGGAATTGCACCAGTGCTTCCATATTGTTGGGGAGGACCAGCATTCACTTCTCGGAGCAGATGGCTTTTTGTTTAGGAAAACCCCTCGAGGGAATTTACTTAAGAAAAGGGAGGCCCCTCGGCCATAGGGCTCTTTAGACAGGAGGTAACACATGGCCACCTACATGCAAATCTATCTACACCCAACTCAGAGGGGGCGTGTGTGCATGCCCTGTGCAAAGTGTGCCCCATGTTTGTTGGCTAAGTACCACATGAAAACTGAGACACTTCATTGAAACATCCCACTTCTCTTTTCCTCTTGGAAAAATCAGACTTTCTGGTAATTCTGAGTCCACACCCAGCAACAACAGCCTGATGAGTGATCACCTCTCTCATCTAGGGCCTGTGCTCAACAGGTGGGCAGTTACCCACAGACCCACTTCACACTCAGGTAACAAATTTATCCCAGCCACTGGCTGCCTGGCACCTGGGGGCATTTGGGGGTAGGGCCAATGGACAGGAGACAGGAGGGAAGCGGGCAGGGCACAACCCTTAAAAGAATAACACAGCAATTAGCACCAAGATGGCAGAAGATTGAACTCCCAGTAGATCTCGAGCTTCAATATACACTCACTGTAATACATTAGCATGCTAAATGGCACTCGCATAGGTGCCATGACAGTTCTGAGGTTGGCCGTAAAAGACCAGAGTGAGTGACGGCAGATTCCTGGGAATCCCAGCCCCTTCACCAAAGTATTTGGAATAATCCTCCCACTTGTTAGCATATGAAGTTACCAGCCTATAAAAACTAGCAACCCCACACCCCTTGGTTTTCTCTGTCCCTCTCCCTCTCTCTCTCCTGAAAGACCATGACCAAGACCTTGGACATGACCATCCTCTCATGCCCCATTTTCCTGCATCAGACATACATAAAGAGAAATCAACGTTCAATAGAATAAAGCTCCAAGAGATCGTTAGGATCGTAGAAGAAAGATGTGAGGAAGGATTTGGATGAAACAGAGGGCTTGAAAGGGGGCCGAGGTCTAGAGAGCTGGGCAGGTATAAATTCCTGATGGCTGAGATGGCTGCCAATGTTGAAAACCTTGAGTTTGATTCCAGTCCGCACTGTGACAATCTTTTTCATTGATTCAGAAACTCAGGATGAGATCTATTGGGCACAACAGTCATGTGTTGTGGACCTTTCGTAAGTCCAAAAACTGAAGAACAGGCTGTTCCAAACCAGGGGACCCAGAGTAGACAGCAGCAGGCTGGGGCAGCAGGAGGGAAAGGGCAACACAGCTGACCTTAGAGCAAGCTTGAGGCAACCCCTTTTCCTGCTACCAGCGAGCAACCTTCAGGAGTGGGGCCCCATGGAACCCTTAATTCTGCCCTGGGAAACCTGCAAAACAGGCTAGAGAAGTATATTTATGTGGTTCTGGATATATGCAACAGTTCACTTTGTATTTTGGTGACCCACACATTGGTCTGCTGTACTCACCAGATCATAAATTGCTTGAAAGAAAATGAAAATAAATGTATGTATGTATATGCATGACTGGGGCATTTTGCTGTACACCAGAGATTGACACATTGTGAGTGACTGTACTTCAGTTTTAAAATTTTTTAATAAATAAATAAATTGCTTGAAGACCAGTGCTTTATCACTTTTGTATCCTCCAAAATTAATCCTTGATACATAATAGATGATAAATGGCTATGAGTAGATAAATAAGTTCTGCCATAACTCCAATGTGACCCAAGAGGTTAAGTAAGGTTAATGGAAGGACATTTGCTACCCTTCTGGTGTAATTAACTTTGCTGCAAGATAAAGATAAGAACTGAACCTCTTTGGGGAAGAAATATGGCTATATATATTATTTTTTATTGAAGTATTGTTCATGTACAATATTATATAATTTACAAGTGTACAGTAGAGTGATTCACAATTTTTGAAGGTTATACTCCATGTATAGTTAATATAAAATATTGGTTCTATTCCCTCTGCTGTACAATACATCCTTGAGACTTACTTTATTTATAGTAGTTTGTACCTCTTAACCTCCACACCTAACATTGCCCCTCCCCCCTCTCGCCATTGGTAAGTTTTCTGTATCTATAAAGTCCCCACTAGTTTATTCTCTTTATCTGTGAGTCTGTTTCTTTTTTGTTATATTCACTACTTAGTTTGTTGTATTTTTTAGATTTCACATATAAGTGATATCATATGGTATTTGTCTTTCTCTGTCCAACTTATTTCACTAAGCATAATACCCTCCAAGTCCGTCCATGTTGTTGCAAATGGCAAAATTTAATTCTTTTTTTTTGGCAGAGTGGTATTCCATTGTATGTATGTGTGTGTGTGTGTATACATACATATATATATGTTATCACATCTTCTTAATGCATTCATCTGTTAATGGACACTTAGATTGCTTCCATATCTTGGCAATTTGTAAATAATGGTAGTATATATGTTTTTAAAGCTCATACTGTTAAATTAGTAAACCCACTTGTCAGAATCTGTCCTAATTAAATAATCCAAAAGACATTTGCACAAAAATCTTCATTTAAATGTTTCTTAACGTCGTAGAACTTTGGAAATATTCGATGTGTCTGGAAACAGAGGAAGTGTAGGAAAATTTTAAATGTCAATGGCTTGATATTAAGCATTTTGAAGTAGTATACATGATTTCACATCAGTCACATCGGGCTTTCCCAGGTGGCAAGGAACAAAGTGAGACTTTTGCTGGTGAAGGATTTATTGTAAAGACACACGCGGAAGTCAGGAGACAGGGTAAAATGGCGGCTGCAGCCAAGTCAAGTGATGCAGAGAATAAAACCTTGTTTGGGGCCTGGAGGTTATTCAGGCTGTCATCTCATTAGGCTGTGGGCTATCAGTTCGAGGTGGCTGGGCTCCCTTCTGTGACCTCTGCCATGGGATGCATCAGCCTCCTTGTTTCTCTAGCTCGGTTGGTTTTTCCCTCTACTCAAACCTCAGCTTACTCATGACCTCCGTGGCTTCTATCACCTAATGGCTTCTGCTTACTGATTTCTGCTTGGCCCCAGTTTTCTGTGTGTCTCACATTTAAATGTCCCAAGAAAAGAGATCTGATTGCTTAAGTTCCCTACTGTTCCATTAGTCAGAGCTCTCAGACCAGACCATGTCCATTATCCACTGGTCAGCATATATATATTTTATAAGCTGTGCTCCCATCAGGTGCCCAAACCTGAGCCCATCGGCCTGGGTCCAAATAGTGGTCACACAACATGAATGTGGCAGGTCCTTCAAGCACACAACCATAGTTTTGAACCATGTTTAAAATAGTAAATAAAAACATATGCATATGAAAACAGGAAAGGGATAAATTGAAGCCATCATAGTCGAGTTAGGGTGGCGGGATTACAGGGGATTCTTTTTCTCCATTTTGCAATTGTCATTTAATGATACTGTAATTGCCTTTCAGTTTTCAAGATTATTTTTTTTTAAGTAATCTCCAAGCAATAGGAGTCCTGCAACCAAGCTACTAAGTTCAGTCCCTGCCATGAATTTGCCTTGGAACGCAGAGCAAAGTCACAACCATAAAGCCCGTGGTGACCCTGGCACAGAAGGTGGAGTGTTGGTTCCACTGTATCTGGCCAGTTAAAGGGGAAGGCCATAATTGTAGGTAAGGCAAAAGCTGCTGCTGTTACTCTGAAAACTTTTAAACTGCTATAATAGCACATGTCACATGAGCAAAACACAGAACCTTAGAACTAGCTTGGTTGTAGAAAGACGTCCTTTGTCCACAGGCCAAGTATTTGAAAATACCACCCACTCAATTGGCAGACATCGCCAGGGCCCGAGAGAAACTACCACGGCAGGGTTGTGAAACCAGCCACCCCTGGCTTCACTCTGATCTTCCTCTGTCTACACCCTTCTTTCAGCTCCTCTCCCACAGACATATAATTACTAAGTATTATTATTGCTGGATAATAACTGTAATTACTACAAGGGCTGCCCGAGGTGGAAGAGACAGGAGAAATCGAATTATTAGATGGACTGATGTCTGTGCTGGACAGTCTGTCTGTATCCCGGAAATCCTGAATCCCCTTCTCCTTCCTTCCCAGCCTTAATTCGGGGCGCACAGGCTGAGGGAGGGAACCCCAAAGCGGGAGGCTTGACCATTGCAGGAAATGGGCCGGGGCAAGCGTTCTGCATCCGAGACGCCGAATCCTCCCGTGCTCCTAGAGAGGACGCGGAAGTGTGGCGCAGTCCCGGAAGGCGAGGTGCTGACACACTTCCGGCCTTTGTGACTCATTGTGTCTGTGTCGAGGCGTCGGGAGGGCCTAGGTCCGTGTGCGGCGCCCTTCGGCCGGCCTGAGCCCCAGAGTCAGCTCCCCTTGCTCGCCCAGCGCCCCTAGGCCGCTCCCGGGGCTCACGGTGAGACTTGGGGCCGGCCTCTGGGGGGGACGGGCGGGGCCGCAGGGGCGTGTGCGTGGGGTGGGCTCTGCAGCTGCGG